TGCTCTAATATGGTGTGGTGTACAAGTGCAAAGTTAAACATTGGGAAGGGGCAGTAGGTCTACACTATTGCATTATGCTAAGAAACTGTAGAAAGTCACTAGGTTGGTTTGATTGAATAGCCATTCTGCCAAACAGCCATTGAGTTTTCTGTGTCCTGTGGTGGGCTTACAGTGAAGTGCAGTAAGAAAGACAACAGTTGCTTTCAGGAAGCAGCACAGGATTTTAGCAAGCTTGGGAATTCTTGTAGGAAGAATAAAGAGTTTTCTGCTCAGTGGAAGACAGCTAATGTGAATTGTGCTATCATTGTAGCAGTTGATGGAAATTGCTACGAGGGAGTTTCTCCTTTCTGCTGTAAGCATGGAGACTTTCTCAAATTAAAGTCTTTCCAGTGGCTGGTGGTTGTGAATTCAGCAAGCTGTACAGTGCATTCTCAGCACTCTCTTCCTTCCAGTCCTGCTGGTGATGTCACCCAGTCCCAAGAAAAGCAAGAACAAATTGCTTCTTCTCTGCTGTACTTTTATTGCTTTTGCTGCTGGCGGGTATTATGCATCCTTCTTTCCATCTTGGTTTTTATAACCAAGTTTAAAAGAAGATTAAGAGAATGTCGAGGGCAGGCAAGTCTTTTTATAATAAACAATGAACGTGTTTAAAAGCTTTGTTTTGCGCTGGGAGAGGCCTGCTTATGACTTGTAAGTGAAAACTGCTGATACTGAAGAAACACAAGACCTCTAATCTTCCCTGCCATACCCTGCTGTTTATGTGAACATTTTCTGTCACTGTGGTTGATCATCTTAACCAGCACTGTAGAAGTCTATGAACGAGGTGCCCAAACAAAACTGAGGCCTGCTCTGGTTAAGTTCTTTTATTATATTTCTGTCTTCATGGTAGGTCACAGACTTGGAATCATCCTACTTGATTTTGGAACTGCAGGATGTGTATTAAAACCCTTGTTTTGCTACTCCTGCATTCAATGGAGAGAAGATTAAGGAACAATTGAGTCTGTGTTACCTGAGCCGTGTTTTGGAGTTTCTTTATCATTCTGCTGGTTGGAGGGGTGGCACAGGGATCTCTTAATGAGCTCCAAGACTATCATCACCCTTTTTCTCAAATGCCAAAGTGGAATGAATGCAAACAAAAAAATGCACAGAGCTGATGTTCAGCATAGGTTTCATTGTAGAGAGAGAAAATGCTTTAGCAAAAAGATTTGAAGTGAATTAGAGATGAACTGCATTCTGGGGGTGTTCAGATCACTATTTTAAGCTGAACGTTTCAGTGCAAATCCATAATTAGCAAATTTGATGAGCTGACAGATTGAGTAGTTGGGCTGGAACCATTCTGAAAAGTCAGCTCTTAGTCTGTGTTTCTGAATTTTTGTTACATCTTTTTGCCCAGTATTTAAATCCTTAAGTATTAAGTGGGTGAGGGTGAATGACTTCTATCGAACAAATGTGAGTGAACAGAACTGGAATCAAACAAGCATAATGGAAAGATTACTGTAGCATTGAAGGGCCAACTTATTGTCTTCATGGTGGAAGAATGGTTTTCTAATTGTTCTTGAAACCCGATGGAAGCCATATTTTGGCTGTGAATAATTCCCAGGAGGTATTATTTGAAGTCTTACCTCATCTGTCTTTACTAATAGGACATATCAAATATTCAAAACCAGGCACACCCTGGGAAGCTCAGAGTGCACTGAACAACTCATCTGTTTCAGATAAAGGTGGGACCGTTCAGTGGTGGGTGAGGCTTTCTGACCTCAGTGACCTGCCAGGACCAGTTCAGTTTTGTCTTTGTTACTTCTCAGTTCTGAGAGGAGGGAATGACTGGCAGAAGGGAAAGCTTATGAGGATGGGAGCCAGATAACTTAAGATTTCACGCCAAGGCACTGTGATTTCACACTCAGCTGTGGTGTGAAGTGTTTGAAAGTTAACTCTGGTCATCACCTATTACATCTACTTCAGAGTTACCTGTAAAGAATTAAAGAAACAAAACTTCCTGCATCTTGTCCGTGGAATCTTTCCTTAAAACGCTATACTACTTGTGTCCTGAAGATGTTTATTTTAGAATTTAGTAATAATAACCAAATGAAAATTAACCACTTTTTGTTTCTGATGTGTATTAGGCTTCCTGGCACTGCATACGAAACCACAGGGCTGCCATTGCCATGTTTGATTTGGCATTGCCCATCTACCCATCTCAAGAATGTTCCTTATCTACTTTAAGATCCCCTGAATGTCAGTACTTCCCCAAGGACTGTGTAAGGAAGTGACCATCCTAAATTAGTTTTGATAGTCTTTACTTCATCAGTTTATGAGACAGCACTTAATGGTTATCCCTTAAAGCTCATCTTTTTCTCTTGAGGGGTAGAAAGAGATTTTCCTGGTGAAGTGTCATCAGAGCTTTTCTTGAGGACTTCCACGGTACCCCTCACTCATTAGCTGTGACCCTTTATTTTCTAAGGACCTGCTGAAAGAGACTGTTACAAAACTTGCCTGTTGATAGCAGCTAAGCAGCTGGTGAGCTATATTGTGTGCTCTATTAGTCTGCACAAAAACATGTTCGGATTGCTGTCACCTCCTCCCCATTCCCATCCCACCTGTTTGGCTCATCTGCCTCATCTTGTGACTTGTCATCAGTCTGCCTTGTAAATAGTTTGTGGCAGAAACTTTTTCATGATAGGTGTATAGGTGTACTCAGAAAGAGGAAGTACCTGCTGCGACTGAGCCTGAGCTCCTGGCTGAAGATTATGGGCACAATTCCAATGCAGATAATAATGCTAAGACTTCCCATACGTCTTCTGCAGACAAAGAGCTGTACTGCAGCAAACTCTTCACAGGATGTTACATTTTTGAATCCAGAGCCTGTTGTTGAATTGCTATAGTATAAATTTTACCCAGTCTTCAAACCTTTGCTATGGCTTAAGCTTTAAAGATACTGCTGTAAATCAGCAGAGCTCTTGTTCCTGTTGTAGAGAGATGCTCATTTGTACCTACTTGATTTCACCACAGTCTGTTTTGCTTTACTAAAAGTAGAGATCACAGCAGTAGATGTCTCATAATGATGGACATTTTGTAGATACTTGGTGAACAGCTTTTTGCCACCGTGAGAAGTACCAGTGTCTGCAAGTGTTCATATTGCAGGTGCTTAGAAAGATGATTTTTAAGTGTTCCAGCATTATTGTCCTATGGTATTTATTCTGTTCTGCTTCAAAATTCTTGAGAGATACTAATTCCGTAGCTGATGGGAACAAGTCTGTATCACGTTCAACAGAAAATTTCCACTATCCTGGTCACTTTTCACCCTTTTAGATATACTTTTTTAAAATATAAATGTAAATGTCTGTTCGTGGGGTTTTATTTTAAGCCGACAAACCCTGTCCTCTTGTAGTTATAAGACAGTGTTCAACTGCAGCAGTTTTTTGCTAATGTCAGGAGCTGTAGCTGCTTGGCAACTGAATGGATGTAAGGAAATCTAAGGTATGACCCTTTCAAATCTGTGAGAAAGTTAATGTGAGTTCTGAATGAATATTTTATGAAATCTGGAGAGATTAGAGCACAGTGTCTGATTCAAGGGTGCAGTGTTCCTGCAGGAGATGTTGGAAGGTACCAGGAACTTTATTCTCTGGTTCTTTCAGAACATCAAAGAAATTAAAATAGTCATATGGATGATGAAATGTAAACCTCCATGTCCTCCTCCTTCCTAATGGGGGTCACTTAAACAATTCTTCCAGTTTTTAGTACATTTGTGATAGGACCTGCATGGGTTGTTATACTGCGAGATCAGCTCTGAGCTGACTGAAAGCAGCTGCTTACAGCGGGCTTTGTTTTGGCCTACACAAAGCTCTGAGGTGTTGCACGTACTGTGCTATTTCTTAAAGGGTTGTTGTGAAATACGTTTGGATCCAAAGTACTTAGAAATGATGCAGTTTGGATTTAAATTTCAGCCTTTGCTTTTTTCCTGTGCATCTTCCAAACTGTTGAAGTATTGCAGCCTATTAGGAATAATCAGTTTGATTCCTAGCAGCCCATGCATAGGATGGTTACTGTGGTACTGTACTCAGAAGTTGGCCAAAGACGTTGCTTAAGAGCAGGAAAACGTAACTAAATCCAAGTGATGGGTATTATAGCAGGTGCTACAGTGCTGACGTACACCTTCGTTATTCAGATACTTATGTATTATCTTTATTCTTAAAAGAGTAATGATGTAGAAGTGCTATTTTCCAAATGTTAATTTAGTTCTCTGCAGATGGCAGCCATCTGTTAAATGACAAGTCCTTTATTTGAGTAGCACTTTATATAGCTCGGATGGACGAATTGGTGCAATACATAAATGGAGTTGCTGAGGTGACACTTGCTGGATTTGTTCATTTTCTATTGCTGTTCCAAAAAATAGAAAATTTCAAAGCTCAGTATTTTTTGCATATCTTCCGTATTTTGAGTTAAAGCTTGACATCCACAAGCCAGTCGGCAGCGTACTCCTGAGAGAGTCACAATGCTAGGAAACATTTTTGAATTACAACATAACTCATAGCAATTATCAAGGCCCTAATTCTACAGTGTCACCATGTGGATGAGCTCTTACAGATACTCACAGGAAACACTGCAAGCTTTTATGAGCCTCAGGACCATCATAGCTTGACAAGCAGACAGCTCTCTTGGAGCTGCCAGTACTCCTTTATTTTCTGTCATTGCTTTTTTTGTTGTTTGTTTGTTTTGGGGGGAGGGTGCTTGTTCCTGTTTTCTTTTTTACTAGGAAAATACTAGCACTGTATTACAATATAGCTTAGTGTTACAGTAGTAAAGTGATCTTCTCTGCGTATTTGTTTGTAAGCCAAGCAAGTTTCATATTGTTTTCTTCTAAAGATTTTTTCAAGTTATGGTGCTAAGTTTTAATTTACATGCCTTGCTTTTGTTGTTGTAAAACTGCCTTATGCTTTTATTACTGCGTTTTTGATAAAATTCAGTGAGTATCCTGACTTGTGTTCTTGATTTTTCTACAGCTGAAAAGCTTGGTAATGGCTCCACTACCCAGTGCTGGGTCAGTTCGGAGCGCTCTGCAGTTATACCGTTATTTGCTCCGATGCTGTAAGCAGCTTCCTGAAGAGAATATTCGTCAGCATTACAGACATGCAATCAGGCAGGTGAGAAATGTAATTCTTTTGTTATTGAGTTCACAGTTGTGTTGTAGGTCTTTTGTGGTGTGGTTTTTTTTTCGTTTTGTTTTGTTTTGTTTTTTAATCCTACAATTTGGACCAATTTCTTATAACTCCTTGAAATTTAAAGCAAATTCTTCTGTAGGCTTGAAACCTCCGTGGGTTCAGAGGATTATACAGGGATTATGTGAAGGAGCACTTGATTTTTGTTTGCTTTCCTTCACTTTCTTGTCAGTTCTTGTGTTAGTCAAGATAGTGAACAACAATTGTTTATTTATTTACCTGGCCACATCGTTTTGGTAATACTTGCTAGTTCCCCATCTGGGGTTGTTTTCCACAACAGGTGTTCATATGCAGGTTATTTAATGCCTTTGATTATACCTATTGTCCTGTGTCTCTTGTAGTTTTACTGTAACAGCAACTTCAAGGAAACTTCACCATGCAGTGACTTACTTAGGTCTTGTTGAATTTACTGGGATGTTACATGCTTTCTAAACCAGAGCTTGTACCTCTATGCATTTCTACATTAAGATACCTTCATTGTTGTTCCAAAGTGAAGTTCTCATAGTTTGTGATCATCTCTTTGGTACTTTTCTGGCCATAATGTGTGAAAAGAGTAAAACATTTTATATGGCAAATACGTTTGATAAGCCTTGTTATGGAAATAGCGTGGGCAGGTGCTGTGATGAATATTTTTACATCTTCAAATCAAAAGTTTGGTGTGAAATTTTCTTTGGGGTTTAAAAGTGATCCTTATTTAAACAACGTGCGTTGGGCTGACTGTCAGTGTAACGCTTGAGATTAAATGTTGCAGAGTTTCAAAGTTCATGCTGATGAAGATGATCCTGATAGAATACAGCAAATTATTAAGAGAGCCATTGAGGATGCTGACTGGATCATGAACAAAGTAAGTGCATCAGATTGTCTAAGCTTTTCTCTGACTCAGTTCAAAATGAAGAAAACATTGCAAAGCAAATTATGAACAGCAGACTGTTGTACAAACTGTTGTTTGGGACACTGAAGTATCCAAGTGAAAGGAAATGTCTGCTGTGTTTGTGATTGCAGTGGTTCCTGTTTCAAAATTCACCTTTGCCAATGTAAAATTAAGTGTATTATTAAAACCATCCATGTTTTAAGTTAGTCTATGTGTAACTTGTTGTCATTAAGAATTATAGTAAATTTCCACAGTGGTGCCTAATATAAATCTATCACAGAGGAAAGATGTGGAATTTTTGCAAGTCACAGTTCATTGATACTCACTTGCTGCATTCCTAACAGGAATCTATCCTCTCTTAGTCATTTTGTTGTATTTGCAGAATGTTGTTTTCTCAAGTCTTGTCTGTGGCTGTGCAGATCAGGGACAGACAGCACAGAAAATTACCACAGAATTGTGGTAATCCATCTACTCATAGTTATCACCCACTGGAAATGCATCTTTATTATCATAGTAGCTCAAAATATCACTCAGTTCTGCAAGGTCCACATCAATGTATCCTAGCTGAAAAATTGTGGAATGACAAACCAGATAATTAAATAAAAGAGTGTACTTTGTATGCCAGTAGACAGCTGAGAGTATATGGGCTTCCTTGGATTTAAATCTGTCTGGTGGGCGTGACATGTTAACATGGATTTCTGAGTATAATGAAACAAGTCAAAAATTCCACTTGCTCTAAGTATCTGTGATTTAATCTACTAAATGACTGTTAAGTCCTTATCTCTGCCAGTCCGTGAAATCCAAATAAGAATTCTTACAGGAGCAAGCTCAGATTAGTCATAGATTACAAAATCATAGTAGTAGCTAAATCCCAGCAGTTACAGTCTAGTAAATAACTGTCTGTGCATGAATCAGATTTTGTTCTCCATGCAACTATGAAAAGCATCATTCAGATTCTGCAGCTGAGAGGAAGATCAGATGCACAGTGTTCATGAGAAAGCAAATGTCTCCGTTATTTTATATTGTAGATAGAAAGCCCATCACATCTCTGTTGAACTGAATCTGAGACAATTTTGTGTAGATGAGTAGACTTGTAAATCTTTGACAGTCATTGCTTTTAGTTATGCATTTTCCTCCACTAATAACTTTTTTTTTCCTTCAGTATAAAAAGCAGAAGTAGAAGAAGGATGAAGACAAGAATGTCATTGGTAAACATCCTTAGATGACATCAGTCGAGTAAGTCCAGTACTATGGTATAGTTATTGCTTGCAATTTTACCTAATGCAAATACAGTAATATTTCTGAAGCCATTTGAGGTAATAGTTAATTGACACAGCCTAGGTTCAAAGCATTAGCATGTATAATTACAAACCTTAGTTTGAAGCTAAACTTCCCTACGGTTTGCACAGGCCAGAACATTTCTCAGGAAAAATAAGTGAGCATGAAAACGTAATGCAGTACAAGTAATTAATAAATAAATATTGCTCTATTAATTGTTCATGTATGAGTTATTCCCCTGTGGAAAAACCTAACTGTGTGTAAAGGTCTGTACTGAGAGCCTGCAGATTTGGGAAGTGCTCATTCAGGATAAGAGCAAGTTTCTCTTCACTTGATTGTGCATTAAATTACACTGTTAGATCTGGATTCTCGGTGGTAACACACACTAAGTGCATCAAATAGTAAATTTTTTGTTTGCTAGCAATGTTCTTCTGTTGAAGTTCCAATGGGTTTAGGCTTATGTTTATGCAATGTTCATCTTTAGTAGCAGAGAGAAGGGTGTAGGTCACTGAGTGGGGAACGTTGTCATAAGGGCTTTAAGCCCATCTGAGGCTTGAACTGCAGTATCCTGTTGGTAGCCAGGTTGATTGGTCTCGCCTGTTGTCCCTTCATACAGACATCTTCATTCTACTCTGTAGGTTTACACTTGAACTGATGTTTGTCTTTTCTTATTTCAATACAGTTGCATGTTCCCTGTGACCCTAATTTCTACACTCTCCAGAAAAGACTCCATTCAGCTGAGTTCTGTGCGCTCAATGGCATGATCACTGAAACGTGCAACCTTACACAGGTATAAAGGCTTTCACATCTTTTTGAATTGTGCAATAAACATCCTTTAAAAATGGGGAGTCTGTGTTCTTTTTAAAAAGAAGACCATAATTTCACTGCCCTAATAAATTTTCATTGGTTAAAAACTCAAAAGAAACACTAGCTGTCTTAATCAAATTTAGGGAGGTATGGGTTTCCTTCCACTGCATCTTCTTTGTAGCTGTACTTGGAACTTTCTGCCTCCAGATGGCAGCACGCGCTGCTGTAAATGCATGAAGTCCGAAGTATTTGAGGGTTAGATCGGTCTGTTTTTACTGTTTCCAAATTGCTGAGGTTGTTCACCTGCAAAAATAGAACTAAAGTGCTAAATGAGATCTGTTCTGGGCTCCAGATTTTTTTTTCGTGCAGCCTAGTTCCAAGCAATCAAACAATTTCAGACAAGTGCTGTAAAAGAAATTAAGGCCATAATGTGCAAGTTTATATTATAAAGTGTTGTATCAAAATTTTTGTTTATACCTGCTCATTTTATACCCTATCATCAAGCATTCCTTCACACTGTTATTGTGGTCTACCATCATCATTGTCTTCTCTCTGGCCCTTCATCTTTCACATCTTATACGTCTTACACTTTTGTAGCTTCTGTTCTGTAACTTCTTTAATTCTGGTCTCTCTCATCTTGTCTCTCAACCTCAGTTCTTTTTCCTTTCCAGATACTTTTCTGATATTTCTGGGTGCATCAGAAGGCATTAAGGTATTACAGGGCACCCTACTGCTTAATTTCAAATAATAAAGAATGAAGCTAGTAGAAACTAGCAAGGATGCAAGTTTTTCTTCAAATGGGGAAAACTATTTAAATACATTTTTGGAAAGTGCAGCTGTTTTGGTTTGTCTTTCCAATATAGTTTGATGCAAGGTGGAGCACTGAGTGTTTCAGCCCTGACATTTGACAAGGAGTATTCAGTATGAAACCAAACACAAATAGTAAAGCTCAAACAGGTTTAAAGATAGACATAGGAATGTGTTATCTTTTAATCAAGTGCAAAAAGACAGCTGACTAGTATGAAGGTGCAGTGACAGCAATATTTCAGTACATATCAAAAACATTGGGACTCAGTAGCTGTAACAGTGTATGGAAACATACTGGTTTACCAAAATTTAGGTGTGACTCGCTCAGTAACCCTCCATTGCTTTGATTGTCCAACTTTATGTAGTAAAAAACATGTTTTGCTCAGTTAATAATTGGATGTATGTAAGAATAATATGAACATAGTATTTAATTTGTGAACAGCTCAACAGAATACAGCAAGGAGCTGTAAGGTGTAACCATGGCATGTGTGCAGCTCCAAATGCCTGAGGAGCCAGCTGAGATCTGAGATCATCAGACCAGAGGTATGAGAGTTAATTGTTATGGCAGACCAGGGACTGTGAATTTTGTCTTTGGAGCTGGTAGAAATGTACTTCTTGTAGGGTGCAGAGGGGGAACACAGTTGAGGCAGGAGACAGTATGAGTAATGTTTTGATGATTTTAAAAAAATTTAAAGTAATGAAATAATAACTTTAATGTGGTTGCTCAGTGTTATGGGATGTCTGTCATTTTTTTCATACAAAACATTGTTTCGTTTTCAAAATAACAAGCCTGTGATTTGAAGATAACTTTATTTACACTGCTACAGAACAGGTAAATTTTCTTGATAGTGGGGAGAGATAATGCAAACAACTGTTTACTTCCTTGTAATAGTGAAAGTGACCTCAGTGTCTAAGACAGAAGTGTTTCACTAATGAGTGGACATCCAGATCTATAGCTGAGGCTTTCTTGCCTTCAAGACATAAAACATTCTCTTCTTCAGTAGTGTAATTTGAGGTGAAATGCATTGTTTTACTCAAAATATAGATGAGAACTTGAACTCTGAAACAAAATTTGAGCAGAGATCAGTACTTCAGCCTAAAGTTGTTATCCAGAAAAATTCCTTATCAGAAGTCACTTGATTGTGGAGGTGCCCTAATTTGGTGCCCTGTTGCTCTCCCTGTTTGACCTGGGAGTTCATACAGTAAATAGAATTTTCTTCAGCTCTGTGCCTTTCTGCTTTCTGTGACCCTGCCCGTTTCCTCAGTTATTCCATTTTTCACCAATCTCTTAATGAGGTGTTAATGTGCTGTGCTAAGGATTCTGTCAATTGCCGTGAGCAGAGCCATTGTGAGAAGACTTGTACAGCTCTATGCAAACCTCGATTTCTGCTGCTCATGTGGGGAAACTTAATTGTTAAATCTCAGCCAGGGTTCTCTGCTGGTGGTTGCAAAGAAAATATCATTGCCAAATAGATTTGTGCATTTGTTTCCATGTTCAGCCATGTAGAATTTTTGAAGATAGAGATGTTGCGTGTGAGTTGATATATTGCATCAACAGTTCAACTTTGGAGCTGCTTTTCTCGTTGACTTTGCAAATAGGGCCAAGCCTATTCTGGTTATTGGTTCCTTATTCCAGTAAAAAAGAAACCCAAACCTATTTCTGTACTTCTATATCATGCCAATTCTGGTAATAATGCACTGTTGATAGGTGTTTTATGCGATAACTGAACTTCAAAGTCCCATGTTTTGCTGTGCCTGATTATTGTTGGTGTTACCAAAGTAAACATTCAGTTACCAGTGCTGCTTTCATCGGTTTTCATTGTGTTTACAAATTAACAGTTACATCCTGGAAACAGTTTTGCAGCTGGTTTCTATAGGACCTTATGTCAATAACTTCCCGTACTGCTGGGAGTGGCCTTATCTCTCCATTGCCTTTGAACAGTTAGCTCTGTCACTTATGCTACAGACAGGGTTTTAAGGGAGGATTGTGCAAAGCAAACATCAGAATAAAGGAAAAGACAGTTACGAGATTTCTGCTTAATAGTTTGGGTAAATTAGTTATAATTTTTGAAGTATGGAGGAAGATTTTTGGATCACATTTCAGCTGTGGAAATTGAGAAACAAGTTCTTAGTAATTAGTTCCAGGTTATAGACTTATCAATATTGAGTTTATGGCTAGAACCAAACTTGATGCTTCACTTTCTCTCTCTCTCTCTCTCTCTCTCTGAAATATTGGCTGAAAATTCATGGAAAACTTCTGTACAATGTGAATATGGAAATGCCATATCTCCAAAGACTGTAACAATGACAACTTATGAGTTAGTTGAAACATTTTGTTTACTCTGTAAATTCTTAAGCCCAGAGATATGTATTGAAGGATCTACTTCTAATTACCAGTCTCAGAGCCATGCAGAATCTTTCTGTTTAGTCTTTCCTTTTTTTCGTTTCTTCATATCAGATTTTTGTACTTATAACTAAATTGTAAATATGTGGTCTATCTAAAATAAAAGAAAATATTCTACACTTTTCATACTTAAAAAGGTGTGTCTTTCTGATCACATTTTTGTGCCAGAGATACTGATCTCAGCTCATTCTTGTTGCTGAAAGTTACTTGAGCTTTCTGTATACTGAATAAATACTTCCATCTCAAGACAGGGTTTTTGTAACGCCATTTGTCAATAACTGAATCTTTAAATCATTCTCTGTACTCTAGTGCTTTGAACTTTTTCACATGATTTATGATGTCACAGAGATAAATATATCACAGCTTTTTGTGTAGAGACACGTGAGCTTAAGAATTTGATGCTAAATAAAGACGTCTCTTCTGGGGCATTTGGCTTATTTTCAGGTGTCATAAAGAAATGTTGTTTACTGCTATACTGTAAAGAGCAAGTGTACACAATGTTTCTGAGAAGAATATTCAGGGTGATGTTTCTTAAGGGAAGCAGTTCCTTATTTGTGGGTAACTTTCAACTTAGCATTACAAAGAGTGCCTTCATAAAAAGCTCTGATAAGGTGCAAACTGAACAAATAGCACCGTGCCTCTGAGGCATTAATGCTCAGTATCATAACGTTCATCATCATTGTCCTTGACCGTTAGCTGTAAGAACTGGTCTTCCAGGCTGTGTGCTCCACAGCGTAGTATCCTTTGGTGTTATCCAATATAGCATATGTTTATTTGAAAAGTGGATGGTCTTTTTGTCACAACTGTGTTCTAAGGGAAGTGAATAATACATGAAGATAGCTTTAAAAATTTGCTTGCTGTTTGCTTGGCCAGTTGCTTTGCTGTGGTCTTTCCTACTGCTCAGGGATCGGGTGTTTCTTCTTGACTGCACATCTTTCAACTTTTGTATTATTTGATTTAATTTATCTTATACTTCTGTTAAGCCGAGTTTTATGAAATGGTGTTAACTGAAATACACACCAGACATCAAGTATTCTTTTCAGCTTGTGATTAATCAGGGCGGGCAGTAGGGAAAAAAGTCTGTTCTTTGAAGAATGTTTTGTTTTCCTCAGAGCTGTTTGCTGATATTTCAAGTAATTTTGAGCAGTTCAGAAATAGAGGGAGACAACTCTCACTCACAGCTAAGAACTTAGCAATATTTGTATTTATCATTAATTGAAGATATCCCTGGCGTTACATTTTGAAAGAAACCTTGTGTGCTTAAGTAACCTGTAGAGTATGAGGAGGAGAATTCTGGACCTACTGTTTATTGTCCTGATGTGGGAACCAGGAGGCCTAGTAGGTTAATTGCTTATCCTGCTGCTGTCAACCTGGATGCCTTATTTTTTTTTTTTTCCTCAACTAATTGTATTCTGCATCACTCCATTTAGAAAAGGATTAACTTGAATTTCGAATCAATTACTTCTGAGCAAACTTTATTTGTATGTCTAACAACTTTATATAAAATACTCTTTCCTCTGCTGCACTACAGCATTGAACCATTTCATTGCATTTGTGCTTTCTTCTGCTGGCATTAAACTTCAAGTATTTAAATACTAGTGTACTCTGTGTTCTTATATTATTATAGCTTATTTTTTGCACAGTTTTTCATATCCTTCCATGTATCTTAAAAGAAGCTTTAAAATAGTGTTTTTCTTTATTTCCTGCTGTTCTGCAGAACACATTCTAAAAGCAAATATTAAGAGTTATAAA